CCGATGATTTCCGCATTCCATTGGGTCACCTCTCTTTGGAATGGGCACAAACATTGATCTCTTCCAATCAGTCGGCCAGACAGTTGTCTTTCAATTTGATAGTACCCTTCAATACACAGTATTTTTTTATTCTGATGAAGTACAATTTATCAATTTTTTTCTTTTGCTACATACACTTTTGGTGTCACACCTAAAAAAACCAAAAAAAAAAAAACCCTGTGATCTTCTGACGCAGATTTGTTTATTCTTTTGTCCGTCCATGGTACTTTCAATATTCTTCTCCAACAACATAACTCAAATACATCAATTCTTCTACGATCTTCTTTATTCATTGTCCAAATTTCACATGCATATGAGATGATTGAAAATACCATGGTTTCGATCAGACACAATTTAGTTCGCAAACTGATATCTTCACTCTTGCACACTAAAGAGGTCTTTTGCAGCAGATTTGCCTAATGCAATACATCATTTGATAACTTGACTGCTGCTTACATGGATGTTGATTGTGGATGCATGCAAGATGCAGTCTTTGGCAACTTCAATCTTTTCTCCATTTATCTTGATGTTATTTATTGCACCAATGGTGAGGATTTTTGTTTTCTTTATATTGAGGTGCAACCCATATTGAAGGCTGTATAGTCTTTGATTTTCACAAGTGTTTTAAGTCCTCTTCACTTCCAGCAAGCAAGGTTGTATCATCTGCATATCACAGGTTGTTAATGAGTCTTCCTCCAATCCTTCCTCTACACTCTTCTTCATATAATCCAGTTTCTCAGGTTATTTGCTCAGCATAGAGATTGAATGTATATGGTGAAAGAAAACAGCCCTGGTGCACACCTTTCCTGATTTTAAACCATTCAGTGCTCCCTTGTTCCCTTGTTCTGTTAGAACAAATGCCTCTCGTTCTATGGATACAATATGTTCATTGGTCTGTGTTCCTCATGGACACAAGCAAGTGTTCTGGAATACCTGCTCTTCAAAATAGTTTGTCATGGGCCACACAGTCAAAAGCCTTTGCATGGTCAATAAAGCACAAGTAAATGTATTTCTGGTATTCTCTGTTTTCATCCAAGATCCATTTTATATCAGCAATTATATTCCTAGTTCCACATCGTCTTCTGAATCTGACTTGATTTTCTTGCAGTTCCCTGTCAATGTTCTGTTGCATTCCATTGGGTCACCACTCTTTGGAATGGGCACAAATATGGATCTGTTCCACTCTGCTGGCCAGATAGCTGTCTTCCAAATTTCTTGGCAGAGATGAGTGAGTGCCTCCAGTGTTGCATCAATGTGTTGAAAGGTTTTCATTTGTATTCTGTCAGTTCCTGGAGCTCTGGTTTTCACCAATGCTTCCAGTGCAGCCTGGACTTCTTCCTTCAGTAACACCAGTTCTTCATATACTACCTCTTGAAAGGGTTGAACACCACCCGTTTCTTTTTGGCACAGTGACTCTGTGTATTCCTTTCATTCGCTTTTCATGCTTTCTGAATCATTCAATATTTTGCTCATATTGTTTTTCTGTTCTCTTATTTATTAGGGAGTATTTCATGGAAAAATAAGTTCCTGGTGTGAAATAAGGCAAGGTATCCCCTTGTTATTTTGTTTTCTTTTAAAAACATTGCTAATTTCTCTCTATGAAATTATTTTTCAAGGTCAACAGTTCAAACCTACCAGCTGCTCCTCAGAAACCCTATGTAGGGTAGCTATGAGTCAGAACTGACTCCACAGTGCTTAACAACAACTGTACCTGCTCACAAATATTGTCTCAGTCTTAATTTTCACGATAACTATAAGAAGCAAGTATTAGTATCTCCACTTTCTGATCAAAAACAAACTGAGGCTCATTGAAGTAACTTATGCTCAATTGCTAGCCAATGGTAAAGAATACAATTAAGACAAAAGAAATATGTGGAAATGGGGAGGAACTTAAAGGGAGAAAACTTTAATTGGCACCAGTATACAAGGAAACCTATTTACAAAGGTATTTTTAAGGATTCAAATGCTCCTAGGTAGGGCAAATGTTTAAAATGTTGGGCAAATAGTTCAAGAGGTTAGAAGTTCCAGTTTACCTGAAACTGAAAGGCACCTGAAAAGACAAGCACGGTAATCTACTTTCAAAAAATGACCCATTGAGAATTCAATGGGGCACAGTTTTACTCTGACACACCTGGGGTTCACCAGGACTTAGAGCGGTCCCCAATGATTATGTCTCATCGACGCTTCCACTAGATTATGTGAGGGTGTTTCCATTTACTGGAAAATTTTTTATTTATCTTTCACCTTTGTAAGGAAGAAAACCCAAACTCTTTATTAATTCCAGAGTGGGATATTTAAATCATCACACATCCTACCGCCTCCTCTCAGAGACCCAGCTGAGCACTCTGTGGTCCAAATCTACAGATGCTTGTCTCTTCTGGAGAGAAGGAACTAGAATCCCATTGGTGTAACTTCTCTGCCTGCATTCATAAATATGCTTCTTTATTACCAAATAGATAAGCACAGACACACATTGAAATTATTAATATGATCTTCTCAGGTTTCAAAGGAAATCAATGAAATGACAGTCAATATGCCATATCAGTGTTTCATAAATGGACAGTTCACAGATGCTGATGATGGGAAGACATATGACACTATCAACCCAACAGACGGATCGGTGAGTAATTATTTAATATGTGCAGCGGCCACTGGTCATGAGATCTTCCTTTGTACAGTTGTAAAATGGGCAGTCTTAAGCAGCTGCTTCCCTTGAGCACCCTGCCTCCAAGCACTTAATGGAAATGTGCTTCCTGCATTTCTTTCAACCATTCATTTCTGGCATTGCTGCTGTTCATTGTAAAAAGCTGTATTGTGTTATCGAAAATCTGTGAAAAACAGATAGCTCTAGAAAATGAGACACACCTTCACATAGAGATAGTTATAATGTCCAGAGAGTCTGCTCTATAGAAATTTGCAACCACCACCAGGTACTAAAAGAAACAGGTATCGTTTTCCTGAATGTATCTTTCCTTAGTGGAATGTAACATGAGAAGTATCAAATTTCACATTCGTAATGCCCATGATAAAATCATTGGCTTTTCTGTACTCTATGTATTAATTTTCTGGCTGTACAATTTTGGGTTATATACTTTTTCTATGAATATAGCAATAATTCCAGGAAAGGTACCATATAATCTCTTATATAACTAGTGTTTGCTTATCTTGAAACAGACAATATGCAAAGTATCTTATGCTTCTTTGGCGGATGTTGACAAAGCAGTAGCAGCAGCAAAAGATGCTTTTGAAAATGGTGAATGGGGACGAATGAATGCAAGAGAAAGAGGAAGACTGATGTACAGGTATGTTGTTTGTTGGGGCTTGGGGGGTAGACAAGTCTTACCTCTGAATATTGGCTAACATTTCCAAGACTTTTGAGATTTCTTCAAAATATTCTAATATTTTCCTATTATAATTATGTCTTGTTACTTGTATCACATAAAATCCCACGTATGTGAGATCCTACAATAATGCATGTAGCATTATTACTTATATCAATCAGGGACTGCAAAAAAATATGGCATTAACTGTCCCTCCCACAGCACTGTCTACTCCGTTGATATTCACTGCAATGATCACATAGAACTCAAGACACCATGCTTATGGTTATTGGGTTTATTATAATTCAGGGTCAGGAATGTTCAAGGTAAAGTTCTTTCTGTCCAGGCAGGCTCTCCTGTGCCGTGCCCACAGGCAGGCCTCTCTCTGGTCCTCTACCCTGTTCTGGCAATGATACTAAACTCTTTTAGTGCTGCTAAGAAATGCCTACACCTCAGCCTGAAGGCACTCAGCTCTAGCTCCATGAGTCAGGAAGCCTTGATCCTCCAATTAAGTGCCTGGAGGCTCCCACTCTGCAAGCAAGCCACGTCCTGTCCAAAGTCACTCAGCTTTACTGGCTCCGTGGGCTAGGAAGCCCACTCCTCTAATGTCACAACTTTCTGTCTCTGGGTTGAGGAAGTTCAGTGCCAGGGCCTCAGGGGCATGTGCCACTTGGGATTCTTTTCTTTGATGATAGTGAGACCCCACTGTCTTGCTTCTGAGATGGCCCATTTTATACCCAGCAGGGTGACAAAATTGACCAATCACAATTAGTCCTGTTAACCATCACTGCCAACTGAATTATACAATCCATCAGCATCTTCCCCCCACCGTTTCTTACTCAGATTCAGCAGGATAAAGTGATTTGGTGGGAGTTTACAAAGACTATAGTTAGAACAGACATTAAAGAATTCACTGCATTGTAGAGTCCCTGTAGGAAAAGAAGTTTACTGAAGGCACTATTTACAACGATGTGGGCGCAGTCAAGGAAAGCCAACAAGGGATAATGAAGTACTCCATGGAGAACTGGAAGTTGCTACCATGCCAAGGTCTAAAGAGAAAAAGAGGGAGCTGTGACTAGAAGCTGGCAAGATCTTTACCTGTAGCAGAGGCCCACACTACAGTGATTGCTGGTAGAGGAACACAACAGCTTTAAAGTACACCCCACCAGTGAAAAAGTCTGGGAAATGTATATCCCCACTTGCTCCTCTGACTCACTTGTCTCTTGCAAGTGCCTCTCATTGGCCAAACCCAGTCACAGAGCAAGGGTGTCATTCATAAAGGTCATCTCTTAAGTCACAGAGGAGGTGGAGAGTGGACATGGATGAAGCAGCCAATGAAGGCTACCCAATCCCCTGTTGTTTACCAAGACAGGCTTTAAATCTCCCTGATGGGTCGTGAGTTGGAGCAAGGAGGTACACCACTAAGGCCTGGGGAGAAACTTATCCATCAGCAACTGGATGTATTAAGAGTCGTAGTTGTTAAGAGCTGGCAAGTTGGTTGTGACACATAATGACACTATACAGGGTTTCTGAGGAGCGGCTGGTGGGTTTGAACCACCACCTTGAAGTTCAAATTGACCTTGAGGTCCAGTGCTTATCCTCCAGGACTTACCATAAATTCAGGTTCTGCTTACCTAAACCAACCACAAGGACGGTTTGAATTGCAAGGTTGGCAGTTCAAATCCACCAGCCATTCCTCAGAAACCCTATATAGGGTTTCAACAATAACAATAAAGCCAAATATCATGCAAAAGATGGTCTTAAAGCAGGAGCTGGCAAAAGCACCAGGGAGGGAGATTTTGGATCCTTTTCTAGAATAGTCCACTACAGGAAGGAAGAGAAAAACTAAAGGAGGAGGTGAACACAAAAGATGAATTTTTATTTTTTCAGGGTCACAAGCCATACAGTCCTACATTTATCCTCCCACAGAGACAGAACACCAAACAGAAATCTGGTGTGGCATTTGTGATTTGTTGTTGTTGTTAGGTGCCATCGGGTTGGCACCAACTCATAGTGACCTTATGCACAGCAAAACGAAACAATGCCCGATCCTGGACCAACCTCACTATTGTTGCCACACTTGAGTCCATGGATGCTGCCACCTGGCCAATCCATCTCGTTGGGGGTCTTCCTCTTTTTCTCTGACCCTCCATCTTACCAAACATGATATCCTTCTCCAGTGACTGCTCCTGCCTGACAATATGTCCAAAGTATGAGAGACGAAGTTTGGCCATCTTGGCCTCTAAGGAGCACTCTGGCTGCACTTCTTCCAAAACAGCTCTATTGGTTCTTTTAGCAGCCCATGGACCTTTTAGTATTCTCCTCCAGCACATAATTCAAAGGCATCAGTTCTTCTATGGTCTTCCTTATTCACTGTCCAGCTTTTGCATGCATATGAGGTTATTGAAAATACCATGATTTGGGTCAGGTGCACCTTAGTCCTCAAGCTCACATCTTTGCTCTTCAACACTTTAAAAAATTCCTGTGCAGCTGATTTGCCTAATGCAATATGTTGCCTGATCTCTTGACTGCTACTTGTGAGTGTTGATAGTTAATCCAAGAAGAATGAAGTCCTTGACAACTTCAATCTTTTCTCCGTTGATAAGAATGTTGTTTATTGGTCCAGTGGTGAGGATTTTTATTTTCTTTACATTGAAATGCAATCCATACCGAAGGCTGTGCTCTTTGATCTTCATCAGTAACTGATGTGATTTAGTCCATAGCATTCCATTGTGCACTTTTCAGTTAAGGAGCCCTGACAGGGTAGGAGATTACAAGCTGAGCTGCTAACCACAAGGTCAGTAGTCTGAGTCTACCAGTTTTTCCACAGGAGAAAGATGAGGCTTTTTACACCTGTAAGGATTTATAATCTTGGTAACCCTATGCAGGGTCACTATGAATCAGAACCGACTCAATGGCACACCCCCGGCGCCACTCTTCAATTAGTGGACCAAGCAGAAAGTCTTAAGTGTTGATGGGTTCAAATGAATTTCTTTAACATATCCATCTATACGACAGCATTCGTGGAACTGGCATTCCCACTGACTTTTGGGTTGCTATGGTTACAGCTGCTTTGTTTCTAATACATTTGAGTAAGAAGGCAAGCTCTACATGCTCTCGGCATCTTCTAGTTCTCCTTTGTAACCTTTGAAACAAAGTATTCATGACATTATTTGTTGAATGCCTGTCTTCACGACTGGACTATCATTTCCATAAGGTCAGCCTCCTGGTCCACTCTGAATATTGTGCTTTTTGAATAATGTTTTACATTATCTGGATTTCTTTCCCTGGCCTTACAGACTTGCAGACCTATTGGAAGACAACCAAGAGGAACTGGCCACCATTGAAGCCCTCGATTCAGGCGCTGTCTATACCTTGGCTCTGAAGACTCACATTGGAATGTCTGTGCAAACATTCAGATATTTTGCTGGCTGGTGTGACAAAATTCAAGTAAGCACAGATGTTGTCTCCGTACAGATCGTTCCAAAAGGAAAAGGGACACATATTTATTAGTTTGTACACTGTGTCAGAGGCACTTCTTATATAGGTTTCCTCATCTTGTCCCCCATTAACAACCATGGGAAGTCACTCTGTTTACAACAAACAGAGACTTGAAGATAATGAATCATTTGCCTATGTTTACATAGCAAGTAAATCATACAGATAGCATTTGAAATGAACATTTCTCATTTTCTGAATCTAAGGCTTAATGATATTATTTGTGCTTTACTATAATATCTCCTGAGGTTATGTTAATAATAGTCTTAGAGCGCTGTGGGATAAAGCACTGGACCACAAGGTTGGTTTGAACCACAAGGTCAGAGGTTCAAACTCACCAGCTGCTCCTTGGAAACCCTATATAGGCTTGCTATGAGTCAGAACCAAGTGGATGGCATGTCGGGGATCTACCTTGACAGGGAAGTTTGGTTCACGAAGTAGGGAGATCTGGCGGTGAAAGAAATAGAGAAAGAATATACACAAAGATGCAACGAGAGAAAAAAGGAGACACTCCGAGACCAGAGTGGATGCAAAACTGGCAGGTAGACCCTGCATTGCAGGCAGCATGGCACTGCAGGCAGTAAATGCATGCAGCATTCAATCTGCATTTGTCTTTTCTTTTTTCAGGGAGGGATTTTGCACAAAGGAAGAAGGTGATTTTTCAGATAAGACAGGGTACAGAAATGAAATGTGATTAATCATTCAAAACAGGACACAATGATTTACAGGAACAAATTCTAAAATACACATCGCAGATTGTCTTAATAATTTAACATACTTAATTTTCCAAAAACTCAAGCAAACTGTTATAAATTACTTTTTAGGCTTAAATCACCTAAGGCAGTGAGGTTTCTCAAGGCTAATTAACATACCTATAGCACTTAATCCCTAATGGGTAAAGGTGAAAAGGATTTAAAAGGTCTGAAGGGAGTCAAGGTGTTTCAGCTACCTGGCTTAAGCTTTCAGGAGGAAGAAGAACATCTAGGTTAATCGGTTTACACCTGGGGACAGTTTGACGGGGATGCCACTATTATTCTTTAAACAATACTCCCGGAAGTTACCAATCTACCTTAAGTGAATACCTGGGGCAGTTTCTCTCTCAAGCCTCCCTGCATAATCCCAGCAAACCTGCTTTTGGAACTTTTACTGCCTCGGCTTTAGAAGAGGTTTTGGTTTTAATATTGTACATGGATGTCAAGAGCTCATGTATTAAGTTAATATCAAACATAACTGAATAACTTGATAAAGAACAGTTTTGACATGCTTGCCAGGTGGCCAGAGCTTGTTCCTCAGAGAGGTTTGTTCCTAGGACCTTACACACTGCCAACACAGTGGAGACATTAAGAGAGGCACATAAGAAACCATTTTCTCAGAAGCTACAATTACTGGAGTTAGAAGCATAGAATGAATAATAAGATCAAAGAAAATTATACAGAGGTAGCCCACCAGTGAGTTTGCAAAAACCAATGAACCTGGGATGTCAGGAGGTCACTTCTTTTGGTCCTCAGGGTCCCTGGCCCACAGTCTGAGGAGGGCCTTCGTATTGGATTTTTGTCCGTGACACAAGGCCTCAGCATCTCAGTGCTTGCGGTCACCAACAACGGCACTTAATAACAACAATGTCATGTAAGGAGTCCTGGTGTGGCGCTGTAGGACAATGTACTGGATTGAAAGTTTGATGGTTCAAACCCATTATTTGCTCCTCCAAAACCCTAGACAGGATCACTATGAGTTGGAACTGACTCACGGCAATTAACAACCACAATAATGTCATGTAAAGGAGCCCTGGCAGACTAGTGGGTTACGAGTTGTGCTACTAACCGCAAGGTCAGCAGTTCAAATCGACCAGCCATTCTGCAAGAGGAAAATGAGGCTTTCTGCTCCCATGAAGATTTCCAGCTTCAGAACCCTACAGCGGATCGCTTTGAGTCCAAACCAACTCCACCACTGTCACTGTTACATGGGGATTACAAACTCCAATGCTTATAGAGGCCAGAGAGCTAATGCAGGCGGATGAAGCAGGCTGGGTTTCAGGACACTTTTCATAAAGATACAGACACAAGAAATGCTTTATTTCCCATTTTACAATAAAAGCATATGTAGTGATAAATAGCAACAACATTTGACTTCAGCAATGGGGTGCAAAGCAGAAAGATAGGGCATGCTGAATGCATGCTGCTCAGAGACTCATAACTGCTGCAGTCGCAGTCATGCTGAATGCATGCTGCTCAGAGACTCACGGTAACTACAGCAGCACCAACCATCACAGCCACATTCCTAGCAGAAAAGAGGAAGGCTAGGAGAGACAGAAAGGTCAAAGGATTTAAAGGTGCATTCCCACCCTCTCAGTGCTTTGAGCTTACAGCTCCCATTGGACACCTCTACCTGCTTGGGAGGATGGGAAACAGTACAGGGAATCCCCAGGTTAACAACGAGCTTCATTCTTAACTGTGTCTTTAAGAATCTGTAATCAGAATGGGTGCAGGTGTAGTCAGAAAGGAAAGCCTCGCAGCCGGAAAGTGATTTACAAACTGTACATGCCACAAGTGAAAAGGATTGTGATGAAGAATTTGTTGCTAGTAAGGTTTGGCTCAGTTGTTTCAAAGTGAGGGCAAATTTACAGAACATTAAAGGGAGTACATTGGACACTGCCATCAGGGACTGCCTGTATTTTATCTGGGCACAGTCCTGTCACCAACACTCATACTGAATCAGGGAGACCTGGTGTCTGTTTCTAAGGGCCACTAACAAAGTACCACAGAATGGGTGGCTTTAAAGAACAGAAATGTCCTTTCTCATGGTTCTGAAGGCTAGAAGGCCAAATCAGGATCTCAGCCAAGTCGACCTCTTATAGGGGCTTTTAGGAAAGGAACTGTTCCATGCCTCTCTCCTAGTTCCTGGTAGCTACTGGCAATCTCAGCGTCCTGGTGTGGCACTGTGGAATAAGCACTGGACTGCTAAACACAAAGTTGGAGGCTCAAACCCACCAGCTGTTCCTCGGAAATCCTATACAGGGTCACTATGAGTCAGAACCACCTCAATGACCCTTAACAACACTGTGGCAATCCTTGGCATTCTTTGGTTTGTAGATAGTACCTTTGTGTGATTTTCTTTCTGTCCTCTTTTATAAGACATCACTCAGAAGAGATTAGGATTAGAACCATCCTACTCCAGTAGAGTACGCCGTGGTGGCACAGGGGGTTAAGCATAGGGCTGTTAACCAGAAGGTTGTCTTTGCAGGGGAAAGAGGTGACAGTCTGCGTCCATAAAATTGAACAGCCTGGGAAACTTTATGGGGCAGTTCTACTCTGTCCTACAGGATCGCCAGGAGTTGGAATCCATGTGATGGTAGTGGGTCTGCTCCAGGATGAATTGTGAACTGAACTGATAATCTCAGCAAAGAAAAAGGTCATCTGATCAGTGCAGGAGTTAGGACTAGATCTTTGTGGAGGAGACAATTCAACCTATAATACCTGGATTCAAGTCTAAGCTTTGCCACTATTTCCCCCTTTTGAGCTTACTTTCCTCATCTGCAGAATGGTCACAATAATACATACCTTGTAAATTATGTTACAAGGATTTGAAATGTGTTTTTATAATATTACAAGATTAGAGAAGTCTGCAATATGTCTTGCACATATGAGGGACTTCAAAAAGTTCATGGAAAATGGGATGTAAAGATAATAAATTTTTCCACAGACTTTTTGAAGCCCCCTTGTATATGTGCATTTTGCTATTGTTTAGCCACAAAATCATGCATATATAAATATTTTAGTAATGTTGGTGCAAGTTCATTCCTTATTCTCAATTATGAAACCCAAATAGCTCTGAAAACTAAAAACTTACTTGTTTAATTGATTCAACCTCATTGGGTGCCCAGACCTGCACTATTGACTCTATTTATAATGTTTATTTTTATCACCGAGAATGAAGAATTCATGTTTTCCTGAATATGTTTGATTATAAGGGGCTGCCCCAGGCCCTATGGGGTATATATAATATAACATAAATATAAGGTTTATGTAGTGTTTCTCAAATCCATGAAATTCTGAATTCCAAACCCCCTGTGGCCCAGGGTTTCAGATAACAGTGTCACTTAGTGATACAGATATTAGTAATAGGCCGAAACCAAGCCCATTGCCATTGCGTCAATTCAGAGTCACAGTGACCTCTATAGGACAGAGGAGAGCTGCCCCATAAGGTTTTCAGCACTTAACCACGGTACCACCAGGACAAGACTCCTTTGATCGGTAGTTGTTTTTGTGTTGTGAAGTGCCGTTGAGCTGGTTCCAACTCATAGCGACCCTGTGTAGGGTTTCTGAGGTGAGCTTGAACCGCCGGCCATACAGTTCAAATCAACCTTGCAGTCCAGCGCATTAACCCACAGTGCCACAGCAATCATAGCGATGCTATTTTATATGGCAAAGCAAACCAATTGCTTCAGGTGAAGATTATCTTGATGGATTCAGTTTGGATACATATATCAGAAAACTCAAATAGATTTCTTTTTCTCTCACTTTCAAGGAGTTTAAAGGCAGACAGTTGGGGATAGTATATGAGATGCCTTCTCTATTTGCTCTGCCATCCTTAATAGCACATGACCTCTACCTTCAAGTTTATCTCATGGTCTCATGATAGCCATTGCAGTGCCAGCCATCACAATCATATCCCCAGCAGGAAGAAGGAAGCCGAAGAAGGAGAAGTGTAAAAGACCACGCTTTCTAGCCGAATCAGCCTGCTTTAAAGTCCCCTGCCCAGGCCTTGTACTTACATCTTTCCATTGGCCAACCTTTATCTCCTAGAGACCCCGGGGAATGTGGTATTTTATCTGAGCACCTTGCTGCCCCCAATATTAGTATATTGTTGTTGTTAAGTGCCATCAAATCAGTTCCAACTCATAGCAACCCTGTATATAGTTTCCAAGGAGCAGTTGGTGGGTTTGAACCACTGATGTTGCAGTTCAAACTGACCTTGCAGTCCAGTGCATTAAACCACAGTGCCATCCAGGACTCCAATATTGGTATAGGGGTTCTATTACAACGGACAAAAGAGAGAATGGATAGTGGGCAGGTAATTAACATAGTCTGTCATGCCAAAAAAATAGAAATGAAAGGTGATTAAATTAGAATTATGTTCATTCGCCTAGGTTTCACGGTTCTTTCTAGAAAGAAATTGTTCCTCTTTGGTGCAGATGTTTTGTATAGCCTCCCTGGTGACTCAATAGTTAAAGAGCTAGGCTGCTAACCTAAAGGCCATAAGTTCAAACCCATTAGTTGCTCTGTGGAAGGATGATGTGTGACAGTCGGCTTCTGTAAGGAATTACAGCCTTAGGAACCCTGTGGGTCACTAGGAGTCAGCAGTGAGTTATCTATTTCTTATCAAAAGGAAACTGTCATTTCATGTCAGCTAAGGGAAAACAATAGAGGAGAACAGTAAATGGATTCTTTCTTTGAGAAACAAATTTAAATTCATAAAATAAGTATCAACCTTTCTTACGCTTTAGGGCTCTACAATTCCAATTAACCAAGCCCGTCCAAATCGCAATCTGACCTTCACCAAGAAGGAACCACTCGGGTAAGACAACAGGAGCCACTCTGAGTGACTTGTATGTGTTGTGTATGTTTGAGACACCTGAGGATGTCACATTTGTCCCTCCGCAGTGTCTGTGCCATTATCATCCCCTGGAATTACCCGCTGATGATGCTGGCGTGGAAAAGTGCAGCGTGTTTGGCAGCAGGCAATACCTTAGTGCTCAAACCAGCACAGGTAAACCACTGAGGGGCCCCTACTCACCCTGCATTCTCAGAAACACAGACATGCATTTACAAATACTGTGTCTATACGCAAAAATGAGATTGTATTCCCATTTTATATATCATAGACATCCTTTCGGATTAGCAAATATTCAAAATAATAATAATAATAGCTGCCTACTACATTGTACTTAACAACAATAGCAACAACATTGTATTGATATTCCAGATATTGAAACTTCCAAGACAATGAAAGCAAGCACAGTTTACTTCAGTGGAATATAATTTAATTTCTTCAGACTAATTCAATTCTTGCAAAATGTCAAATGTTCAACAACCAGGGAATGACTTAGAGTACATAGAAGACATCGAAAGAGAATGGACTACACAAATTTTAATTATCAACAATATTATGGAATATGGGAGGGAAGAGGATGATGCAAAAGAATTTGTATAATTAGGGCAACAATCTGAAATTGCATGCATGTGGATAACAAGGATATGACTTAAAAAACAGTTCAGGTGGTGAGGTTCATTGCCACTGAGTTGATTCTAACTCACACTGACTCCATGTATTCAGGTGCTAGACTTCTCAAAACAAAATCTTCTACTCATATAGTAGCTTTTCAATTAAAAAAAATATGGTAGTCAATGTAACACTGTGTGAACATTTACTATGTACAGCACACACTGGTCAGTATCCTGATGCATTAAAAAAACAAAACAAGGTCTTTGAGGACTTGAAAAGAATACAACTTTGGTCAGACATCACAGCCTTTTCTTGATTTACTCATTTAAAAACAATTTCATTTCAAACACAAGTAGTACATTGAAGTTTTTCAAAATTCTAAAGGTATGAAGAGGTTGTTGTTTTAGGTGCCATCGAGTCGGTACCGACTCATAACGACCTTATGCACAGCAGAACGAAACACTGCCCAATCCTGGGCCAACCTCACTATTGTTGCCACGCTTGAGTCCATTGATGCTTCCACTTGGCCAATCCATCTCACTGGGAGTCTTCCTCTTTTTCCCTGACCCTCCACCTTACCAAACATGATATCCTTCTCCAGTGACTGGTCGCTCCTGACAATATGTACGAAGTATGAGAGACGAAGTTTGGCCATCTGGCCTCTAAGGAGCACTCTGGCTGCACTTCTTCTAACACAGATCTGTTGGTTTTTTAGGCAACCCATGGCACTTTCTATATTCTCCTCCAACACCATAACTCAAATGCGTCAATTCTTCTACGGTCTTCTTTATTTACTGTCCAGCTTTCACATGCATAAGATGTTATTGAAAATACCATGGTTTGGGTCAGGTGCACCTTACTCCTCAAGCTGACATTTTTGCTCTTAAACATGCTAGAAATGTCTTGTGCAGCTGATTTGCCTAATACAATAAGTCGTTTGATTTCTTGACTGCTGCTTCCATGAGTGTTGATAGTTGATCCAAGAAGAACAAAGTTCTTGACAACTTCAATCTTTTCTCTTTTGACAAGAATGTTGTTTACTGGTCCAGTGGGGAGGATTTTTGTTTTCTTTACATTGAGATGTAATCCATACCGAAGGCTGTGCTCTTTGATCTTCATCAGTAAATGTTTTAAGTCCTCTTTCACTTTCAGTAAGCAAGGTTGCACCTGCATATCACAGATTGTTAATGAGTCTTCCTCCAATCCTGATACCATGTTTTTCTTCATAGAACCCAGCTTCTCAGATTATTTGCTCAGCATACAGGTTGAATATAATTATAGTGAAAGAATACAACCTTGTCACACACCTTTCTTAATTTTAACCCACTCAGTGTTCCCATGTTCTGTTCAAACAACTGCCTCTTGGTCCATGTACAGATTCCTCATGAGCACAATTAAGTGTTCCGGAATACTCATACTTTGCAATGTTGTCCATAGCTTGTCATGATCCACACAATCAAAAGCCTTTGTGTAGTCAATAAAGCACAGGTAAACATCTTTCTGATATTCTGTGCTTTCAGCCAAGATCCATCGGACATCAGCAATGATATCCCTCATTCAACGGCCTCTTCTGAATCCAGCCTGAACCTCTCGAAGTTCTCTGTCAATGTATGATTGTGCCGTTTCTGTATTACCTTTAGCAAAACTTTACTCGCATGGGATATCAAAGAGACTATCTGATGATTTCCGCATTCTGTTGGGTCACCTCTCTTTGGGATGGGCACAAATATTGATCTCTTCCAATCAATTGGCCAGATAGTTGTCTTCCAAATTTCTTGGCATAGGTGAGTGAGTGACTCCTGTGCTGCATCACTTTCTTGAATGATTTCAATGTTTATTCCATCAATTCCTGGTGCCTTGTTCTTTGCCAATTCCTTCAATGCACCTTGGACTTCCTCCTTCAGTATCACTGACTCTTGTTCATATGCTACCTCTTGAAACATTTTAACATAAACCATTTCCTTTTGGTACAGTGACTCTGTGTATTCCTTCCATCTTCTCTTGATGCTTTCTGCATCATTCAATAATTTGCCCAGAGAATCTTTCAATAATGAAAGTTGAGGCTTGAATTTTTTCCTTCAGTTCCCCTAGCTTGAGAAATGCTGAGTGTGTTCTTCCTTTTTGGTTTTCTGACTCCAGATCTTTGTACATTTTGTTGTAATATTTGGCTTTATCTTCTCGAACTGATCTTTTAAATTTTCTGTTCAACTCTTGTACCTCCTCATTTCTTTCATTTGCTTTAGCATCTCTCGCTGGAAAGCAAGTTTCAGTGTCTCTTCTGACATCCATTTTGACCTTTTCCTTCTTTCTTGTCTTCTTAATGACTTTTTGCTTTCTTCATGTATGATGTCATCCCACAACTCTTCTGGTCGTTTGTCTTTCGTGTTTAATGTATCAAATCTGTTCTTCAGGTAATCTCTAAATTCAGGTGGGATATATTCAAGGTAGATATATTCAAGAGTTAGACAGTGAAAAGTCTTCCTCCTAGAATACTGCCCCAAAGACAATTAGTGTTCTTCAGTGTTTTGTGTTAGTTTCATCAGCATCTTTCTAGAGACAGTCAGTGCAGATGCACAGCAAGCACACACATGCTCCATGTATGTTGTTGCTGTTAGCTGCCGTCAAGTTGGCCACCAATGCATGATGACTCCGTGCACAACAGGATCAGACTATTGTGAGCTAGAAAGTTTCCATTAGCTGGTTTTTTAGGGAATTATAATGCTAAATCTTTCTTCTTTGTCTTAGTCTGGGAGGTCCACTGAAGCCTGTTCAGGGTCATATCAACATGCAAGCCACCACTGTCTGACAGGTGGTGGCCACACTGAAAGTACATTGGCCAGATACCAAAGTGGATCTCCACATGGAAGGCAAGGATTCTACCACGGAATCCCCATTGCCCCCATATAGTTTATATTAAAAATATGTACATATGTAAACCATGTGTATGGTTTATAGCTACAATATATATGAGACAGTGGTATAAACTATATAGACATACTATGTTGTTGTTAAGGAGCTCTAGTAGCATAGTGGTTATGAATTGAGCTACGAATCTCAAGGTCAGCAGTTCGAAACTACCAGCCGCTCCATGGGAGAAAGATGAGGATTTCTGCTCCTGTAAAGATTTACAGCCTCGGAAACCCTGTACAGGTTCACTATGAGGTAGAACCGACTCCACCGCACACTACCACCACCACAACCATGTTGCTGTTAAGCGCAGTCAAGTAGGTTCCAACCCATAGCAGGTGACCCTGTATAGGGTTTCCGAGGAGCTGCTGGTGCATTGAAACCACCAACCTTGCAGTTTAAACAATATATATAGACATACAGGAGTTCCGGTAGCATAGTGGGTTGTGCGTTGAGCAGCTCACTACAAGATCAACAATTTGAATCCACCAGGAGAAGGATTTCTGCTTCTGTAAAGATTTGTTGTTGTGGTTAAGACCCATCAAGTCAACTCTGACCCATAGTGACTTTGTATAGGTAGCTATACAAATTCACTGAGTAGCCGCTGGTGAACTTGATCCACCGATCTTTCAATTCAAACTGAGCTTGCAGTCCAACGCATTAGCCCACAGTGCTACACCAGGACTACAGCTGCAGAAACCCTAAATGGGGTCTCTATGAGTCAGACCGACTCCACAACACACACTTCACAACTATATAAACTATGTGCTGCTGCTGCATGACATTTATATGGTGGTGATTGTGTGCTGTAGCGTCGGTTCCGACTCATAGAGACCCTGTTTAGGGTTTCCGAGGCTGTAAATCTTTACAGGAACAGAAAGCCTTGTCTTTCTCCCATGGAGCAGCTGGTAGATTCAACCTGCTGACCTTGTGGTTAGGAGCCGAGCTCATAACATTGATAAACTGCACTATCAGAGTGCCTGTAGTTTATCAATGTTTTCTAAATATAAAATTGGGGTGGGGAGGGGGCAGTAGTGCTTCAATGGTAGAGTTCTTGCCTGCCATGTGGAGCTCCAAGTTTGATATTTAGTCAATGCCAACTTCAATCCGACCATGAGGCAGCATCAAAACAAATCAAATTAAGGGAACCTGTGCAGGTTAACGGACCTACACTACTCCAAATGGAAAGTTTTTAATTTAATTTTATTTTTTTAAAGCATCACTCAGAATCAGGTTCAGGTTAAATCAAACAGACTAAAGAAACATGATATTTCAGTGACAGGAGCTACAATGCTCTTTTCCTATGAAGAACATGAGTGGGCGGTTGGTAAGAGCTGAATAAGGTCTTACATTAGGTCACAGTATTGTATCTGTTGTTAATGTTCCTGATTTTGGTCTTTGTACTGTAGTTCTGTAAGAGAATTCCTTAGAGGCAGAAGAGCATGTTTACATCTTGCCATTCAGACAGCCATATGAAGTATAGCTACAGAAAGAGAATCGAACAAATGTAATAAAATGTTGATATTAGAAAAATTGGGGGGAAGGGTATATAGGCGTATCCCAGAGACATTGCTGGTTTGGTTCCAGACCACGATAAAGTAAATCTTGCAATAAAATGAGTCACATAATTTTTTGGTTTCCTAGTGCATATGAGAGTTATGCGGATACTATCCTGTAGTTGTGTGCAATAGCATTGTGGAAAAAGTCAGAAATGTCATGAGCATTACCAAAATATAATACTGAGACACGAAGTAAACACATGCTATTGGAAAAATGGCACTAATAGGATTGCATGATGCTGGTTTGCCACAAACCTTCAATTTGTAAAAAGCTCAAGATCTGCAAAGCACAACAGAGTGACGGCATCACCAAAGGAGGTGTTTTTGTATAAGAACTTTTATACTGTGTTTGCAACCTTGCTGTCAGTCTGAAATTAAACCAGAACTTCAAAAACCTGAGTGGCATAAAGTAAAATAAAAGAGATGCTCGAATGCAGCTATCCAGTAAAAACTGAGTACTGAACTAAACGACAGGATGGGCATATTCTGAAGAAGGTCATTGTTGTCTGTTTCTGTTCAGGTTACGCCCCTGACGGCTCTGAAGTTTGCAGAGCTCTCTGTGAAAGCTGGCTTCCCAAAAGGGGTCATCAACATAATTCCAGGCTCAGGTAAACATCAAAGAACTCGCTGCGCTCTAGCCAATGAATGAATGGTAGAGGGTCAGCTGAGTGGTTGTTTGTCCACTGCAGTCTTGTCCTGAATTATAACTATAACAAAACTAAATACAGTTTACTAAACAGTTGCTGTAAGAATAAATATAATGTGTTAAAATATCAACGTGGAAATACATTGAGTAGTGGTATGGATATGCAATGCTGTAAAATTACCCTGGTGGTGATGGTGGTGTGCCGTGGCATCGACTCCAACTCAGCGAGCCTGCATAGGGTTTTGGAGGCTGTAAATCTTTACAGGAGCAGAAAGCCTCATCCTTTTCCAGTAGGGCAGCTGGTAGTTTCGAACTGCTGACTTTGAGGTTAGCAGCCTGACTTGTAACCACTATGCTACCAGAGCTCCTTATAAAATTACCCTAAGGTGACTCAATTCAGTTAAAAAAAAACAAAACAAAACACTTTGGACATTTTTGGGTATTATTTCATAATAACTGCATGGAGGATTTTGTCAATTTGCAACTAATATGCTGTTGTTGTTGTTGTTAAGTGATGTCAAGTCGGTTCTGACTCATAGCGACTCTATATATAGGGTTTCCGAGGCTTTTAAATCTTTGTGGGAGCAGAAAGCCTCATCTTTCTCCCTCGGAGAGGTTGGTGGGCTTGAACCTTGTGGTTTGCAGTGCTAACTGTATGGAGTTAATATAGAACATTTAAACTTAAGGTTTTAGGGAGAGTACTTCAATGCATTCAAATCCATCCTCACCATAAGCAGAACTTGAGTACTGTTTTCATTCGCATTTGATTCCTGTTTCTCCAGGTGGTATAGCAGGACAGCGCCTTTCTGAACATCCAGATGTCCGCAAACTGGGCTTTACGGGCTCCACTCCCATTGGCAAACAGATCATGAAGAGGTATGGGTTTCAGTGCGCCAACTTGCTGCAGATCCTGTTAAAGCAATTTTTTAAAATAGAGTGATTCTGGAAGGAGACCAACCGTATCACATTTAGAAGAGAAATTTATCATTGCTGGGTATTTAAATATACCAAAATACTCTCCAAAATGTTAAGCCCCACAGTCAATAAAACTAGTAGTATATCAAAATTCTACACTCTCCTGATAGTTTGAACATTCCAGCACACATGCACAAAATGTTTTAGCACAAAAATGGCAACCCAAATTATTTTTGGAGCACAAGTAAGAGTTAGAAAAAACATATAAATGACAAATCAGGCTTATTTATAAAATGGAGCTCCCCAAAACAGTAACATTAGTTTTTTAAAAAAAAAAATAACATTAGTTTTTTGAAAATGAAAATAAAGTATATCAATGTAATGAAATACTGTCCAATTACTTTGTTCATGGACAGTGTAGAATAACAGCAAATTGTCATTAAAAAGGAAAGAACTCATAAAGCATAAAGCTGTATATTGGATGATCCCAACGATGTTAAAGTAAAAGCTATGTTAGCACACAGACCCAAAGTAAGTATATCAAAATGGTAAAAACAAAACAAAACAAAACAAAAAAACCAACAAAGATCATTGAGCCACGGAATGGAATTTTGTAAGGGTTTTCTTCTTTCTACATTTTTGGGTATAATTTCAGATGTCTTAAACAAGAGTACTTTTATTTGTTGTTGTTGTTATGTGCCGTGGAGTCGGTTCCGACTCATAGTGACCCTGCATAGGGTTTCCGAGGCTGTAAATCTTTATGGGAGCAGAAGCCTCATCTTTCTCCCTTGGAACAGCTGGTAGTTTCGAACTGCTGACCTTGCGGCTCACAGCCCAATTTGTAACCACTACGCTACCAGAGCTCCTTAGAGTACTTTTATAAGAAGGGGAAAATAACTAACAAACTTGGACATTTTTGTCATTGCATCCCAGTGTCCCTGTAATCTAATTGTTGTTGTTACATGCCGTGGGGTTGGTCCCAACTCATAGCGACCCTGTACAGGGTTTCCGAGGCTGTAAATCTTTATGGGAACAGAAAGTCTCATCTTTCTTCTGCAGAACAGCTGGTAGTTTCGAACTGCTGACCTTGTGGTTCACAGCCTGATTCCCAACCAGAGGTGAACTTTCTTTGCCAGGCCTTTATGTTCCCAAAAATCTCTACATCTAAATATACTGGATTTTCCCATGAGAATCGCCAATTATTTGACAGCAGAATTTTCAAATACTTTTTATTATGAAAAATTCTAACATGCACAAAGTACATGGTTTAACATAATGAACACCCAGTTTTAACAATTAGCACCATTCTACTATTCGTGTTTTATCTTTGAATAAGTTTTTTAAGATTTCTAAGTTTCATTACAGGGAGTCCCCGGTTACGAACATCCAACTTATGGACCATTCCTACTGCCCTTTGTTGTGAGTTGTTAGGTGCTGTTGAGTCAGTTCTGACTTAGAACCACACTATGCACAGCACTGTCTCACGATTGCTGTTATGTTTGGACCCGTGGTTACAGCCACTGCGTCAGTCCATCTTGTTGAGGGCCTTGCTCTTTATTGTTAGATTCGCTCCACTTTGAGACCATTGAACTAACTTCTACTCACAACAAATTCTTCAGCTCAATCTTCGCTTGTTGCATGTAGTTTTTAAATCATGGAAAAGGCTCTGTGCCTTCTCTTGCACTAACCCCTTCAAAACCAAAGCCACAGACCTATACAGGGTTTCCAAGACTGTAAATCTGTAAAAGAACAGATAGCTCATCATTCTACTTCAGAGCAGCTGGTGGATTTGAACCACTGACCTTGTGGTTAGTTGCTGTTGTTGTTGTTATGTGCCATGGAGTCAGTTCTGACTCATAGTGACCCTGTATAGGGTTTCCAAGGTTGTAAATCTTTACGGGAGCAGAAAGCCTCATCTTTCTCCTGCGGAACAGCTGGTAGTTTCGAACTGTTGACCTTGCGGTTCGCAGCCCGATTCGTAACCACTACGCTACCAGAGCTCCTTTCCCGTGCTTATTCCACAGTACCACTAGGGCTTCTGTTTCTTGCACTAAAAGAAAACTAAATAACCTGTTCTGACTGGCCTACAAATTCTTAAAGACACAGATAGGAATGGCTCTCGCTCATAATCCAGAGACTGCCTGGATCTGTAAAGGAGAAAGCTTGCATGTCCTTCAGAATCCATGAAGATGAAATGAGATAAAATCTAGGAAAAGATGAAAACATTTTCTTCAGCATGGCAGATACTTTTAGTAAATAGTAACTGTTGTTATTACAAGTTAATTACCATTTTTACTTTCTTACAGACGTCCTCCTTTTAGATTTGGCATCGTGTATTTCACACCTACTGGCAATCTATGGCTTAAAAAGAAGGAAGGGAGTAAGCATAGAGACTAATAGAGACTAATGCAGTCTTCTTCTTCTTCCAGCTGTGCTGCCAGCAATTTGAAGAAAGTTTCCCTTGAACTTGGTGGTAAATCACCACTTATAATTTTCAATGACTGTGAACTTGACAAGGCAGTGCGAATGGTAAGAGTGTGTCAGATCCAAGCAAATGTATGGTGCTTCTAAAACACATCTCACCCTTTATTTACATGAGGTCTTAAGTGAGATTTGATTTTGTCTCTCTCTGCATGCTGTTAAGTCAGTTCCAACTCATAGTGACCCTGTATTGGCTTCCTGAGGTGGTACATCTTTACGGGAGCAGAAAGCTTCATCTTTCTCCCGCAGAACGGCTGGTGGATTTGAACTGTTGACTTTGCAGTTCGCAGCTCAACACGTAACCTACTGCACTACCAGGGCCCCTTTGGTTTTGTCTAGTCATAAATTAAAAGCCTCTTTATGTTTAGATTTGGGACTATTCAGAGCACATAATTTTTTAAATGAAGTGTTTATCATTTGTCTCATTAAAGTGTTTTTGTTGGTTTGTTTTTTAAAGTGGAATATAAGTCATAACAGTCTTAGGAAAAAACTCCAAAGATGTTCTGAAGGGGCTTCCAACTCTTTCTTTTCATTCCCCTCAAGATCTCACCCCATGAACCTGAGAAGCTCTGCTTCTATCTGTTTTACAAACTGGGTTTCTGCTGAGATTTTCTATACACAACAAAGAGTGCCATATGAAAACATAAATGACAACGTCAGTTTCCTGGTTTTAACAATGCACGCTGGGTCTGCTATGGGTCGGAACCTACTCAACAGCACTTCACATCACAACACAACAACAATGGTTTTATAAAATATTATGGCGAAAGTTGGGTGAAGGGTACATGAGAACCCTTGTACTATTTTTGTAGCTTCTAGTGAGTCTTAAACTATTTCAAAGTATAAAAAATTATTCTTCTTTAAAAAAAACTTAAAGGTTAAAATAAAACTCATTGGTGTAGGCCTCATGCTTCATTTCTGTGATATGGGCATGTGTGAGCCAATGCTGGACACTTCTCTTATTTTTGGTGGATGCTTATGGTCTTCCCAGGTTTATTATCAATTTTCTAGCGTGGCACTACAGGATAATGAGCTGGACTCCAAGGTTAGTTTGAGCTGCAAGGTTGACAGTTCAAACCCACCAGCAGGTCCTTGGAAACACTATAAAGTGTCTATGCATTGGAACTAACTCAACAACAAAGCAGAATCTGTTCTCCATTCCCCATAACTGCAAAGCTGAACTGCAAAACTGAACACCCACACAAACCTTGTCACACAAGGGGAACCAAAGGAAAACAAGTGGTCTACGAATTAAGGAGGAGCCAAGCCCTTCTGTGGCCAGAGTCTGTGGAGTGACACTTCTGAGGTTTCAGTGACAGTGTCTGCGGGTGCATGGGCCAACATCAGGAGGAAGAACTTTATTGGATGTCTGGGTTTCTAAGAGCCTTCAAGAAAGGTGCCTGGGGAAAAGACGGAAAAGAGATTTTTACTCTAACATAATCCTTTACATTTTTAATAGCATCAAACTCAAGGTTAGTTTTTATTAGATAGTTTATATTCTTGACAATGCAATAGCAATAAAAAGGAGGGAACAGACATTGGTAAGGGTGAAATGGAGTCCTGGTGTAGCACTTTAGGATCGACACTGGACAGCTAACTACAGGGTCAGTAGTTCAAACTTAGCAGCTGCTCCTCGGTAACCCTATCCAGGGTTATTATGAGTCACAATGGACTCCATGGCACTTGTCAAGAACAACAAGGGTGAAATAATGGAAAGTGAGGAGAAAATCCCAGTGTTGTGATTACAGACAACCACTCTTTCCCTTGCCTAAGTTTGAATATTCACAAGAGTCCCTTTGACGCAGCCACCATCAGACTTTTTTTTTATTATTGTGATTTGAGTGAAAGTTTACAGGGCAGATCATCAGTTTTACATTCAACAAATCATATACTTTGTTTCATTACAATGATTAACTATCAGTTAACAGTGTTTCTCTCTATTCATTTTAAATCTTAAAAAAACAAACACACACACTCAAGTATATATAATTTACACCACCAAAGGGCACATTCTGCAAGTCTGCCACCTGACCGCCAGCTCTCAGTCCCTCTCTTCCCACAAATCTAGAGTCCTCAGCTACTCCCTCTCTCCATGTCCTCATTTCTGCCTCCATCTCTGGTGTCACTGCTTCTCTGGATAGGGTCCCACATTCTGCCTGTGCTCTTCTCCCTTGACACTATCAGACTCTTAGAAAAGAAGCTTTCTACTAAGCACTGCAGGGAGACATTAGTCGTCTGAATGAGTCCCAACTCCTGCCATCTGTTGTCAGCTGCCATTGAGTGGGTTCTGACTCACAGCACCCCCATGTGTGTGCAGATTAGAACTGCTCCATAGGACTTTCAAGGCTGTGACATTTCAGATACAGATCCCCAGGCCTGTACTTTGAGGTACCCTGGGTGGGTTTGAACCACCAAACTTTCGGCTAGTAACAGAGCACTTCACCATGTGTGCCATCCAGGGACTCTTTTCTACCACCTAAGGACCTAAGGAGTCCTGGTGTGGCACTGCGGGTTAATGCACCAGACTGCAAAGCCGTTTGAACTGCAAGATTGGTGGTTCTAGCTCACCAGCTGCTCCTTGGAAACCCTATACAGTGTCGCTATGGGTCAGAATCTACTCGACGGCACATCACAACAACAACAACAACAAGGACAAATAATCCAGGAGAATCAAAAGACTTCAGCAGGGTGTAAAGTAGTAAGACGTATGTACAGGGAAATGTGTTGTTTCAAAACATCTTTTTTTCTTTTTTATCTGGTCCAGAAGAGTCTCCGAGAGGGGAATTAGAACCTAGACTTGGAAAGGAAGATGTAGCAACAGTATCATTCTTTCAAATCAGTCATTTCTGAGAGCCTTCATTTCAAAGATTATTATTTTTTATTATTCCTCCTTGAAAAATAAACTCCCATCCCTTCTTAAAAGTCTGTAGTGTAGACGCTTTCTAAACAATCACAAATTATACAAACTGATTTAAAAATTTTAAAAACAAAATTTGGTACCCAAGATGTATGGAAAAAGCTAGATTTTCTAGCAACACATAAATTTATCATTAATAATTTCATATATTTTCAGAATCAGCTCGACGACAGTGGGTTTTTTGTTTTAATGAACCAAAAGGGGGAGGGAAAAGAGAAATAAAATCCCTAAAAACCATGCTATATCAAAACTGAGTATCTCCAAGTAACTCTCCTCACTAACTCCGTGGAACCCCCCTATACAGGGACACTGTGAGTCAGAACAACAGCGAGGCCCAGGGAGTTGTGTTTTTGTACAACTTCTCTGTCATCTGCTGTCTCCCAAATTCTGTGTGTACACAATGTTATGACAATCTTGACCTTCCCAAATGATGTTAATAGTATTTTTATTTCCGCTTCCCAGGGCATGGGAGCAGTATTTTTCAATAAAGGAGAGAACTGTATTGCAGCTGGGCGATTGTTTGTGGAAGAATCAATCCATGATGAATTTGTGACAAGAGTGGTAAGGCATCTTAACAGCTCTATAAATTGTCTAGAGACTATTTTTACCTGAAAAGTACTTGCTGGACTATAAATGAATGTTTAAGTATGATACTAGTACTGTGGTTATGTTTAGAAAACAATGTTTACCTTTTATAGCTGCATGTGGTTCTCTAAGATAAGCACAGGACTGCAAGGTCAGCAGTTCAAACTCACCAGCCACTCCTTGGAAACCCTATACTAGGTCGCTATGAGTTGGAATCGACTTGACAGCACTTAACAACAGCGAACATATTTACAGATTAAAAGATATGTCTCGGATATGCATCAAAGGAAGTAGGGAGATAATGAGTTGATAATTATTGAAGCTAAGTAACGGGTACATGATATTTTTTGTTTATTTTAAAATTTTTTCATACTATGTTGTTGTTGTTATATGCCGTGGAGTCAGTTCCAACTCACAGCGACCCTGTACAGGGTTTCCGAGGCTGTAAATCTTTACAGGAGCAGAAAACCTCAGCTTTCTCTCGTGGAGTGGCTGGTGATTTCGAACTGCTGGCCTTAAGGTTCACAGCCGATTCATACCCACTACGCTACCAGAGCTCCTTACTAAAGTATAAGCTATATAAAAATCTTATGGAGTCTTGGTGTAGTGCTACAGGATAAGCACTGGACCTCAAGGTTGGTGATTCAAACCCACCAACCACTCCTCAGAAACCCTATACAGGGTCACTATGAGTCAGAATTGACTTGATAGTAATTAACGACAAATAAAAAGGTGATAAAGTATACACATGTGTTGCTATTATCTATACCTTGCTCTGCATTTATAGTAAATGAGACCCTTGACACTTGTAAAAGATATACTTCTGGATTTTTATAAATCCCTAGCTCTGGTAGCGTAGTGGTTACTAATCGGGCTGCGAGCCTTAAGATCAGAGGTTCGAAACTACCAGCCGCTCCATGGGAGAAAGATGAGGCTTTCTACTCCCGTAAAGATTTACACCCTCAGAAACCCTGTACAGGGTTGCTATCGGTTGGAACCGACTCGACCGCACTTAACAACAACAGTATGACTCTACATACTCAGAGCAGTTTCTCTAGTAATGAACTCTAGAAATGATCCCTGAAAGTATAGTCTTCCTAGAGCTGTACGAGTCCTCAGTTCAGTTAGCAGTAGAGCATAGAATCCCCTCTAGTAAAGTAAATGGAGTCTGGTGTGGCGCTGTGGGTTACTGTGCTGGACTGCAAGGTCAGTTGGAACTGTAAGGTTGGTGGTTCAAGCTCACCAATCACTCCTCGGAAACTCTATATAGGATCATTATGAGTCGGAACCGACTCAACAGCACCTAACAACAAACAACAACACTAAACTAAATAAACAAGCAGATAAATAAAGTCCTTGAAAACTGAGCATGACTGCATACATATGAGACTAAAAGTCGTTTATAGGACTATTAAGATGAACTCTGTGTCCAAAATAAACTCTAAACTCTTCTCCATTGTTGTTGTTCTTATGTACCGTTCAGTCATTTCGGACTCATAGCGACCCTGGATAGGGTTCCCAGGGTGTGGCCAGTGGGTTTGAACCACCAACCTTGCAGTTAGCAGTCTAGTGCTTATCCTACAGCTCCACATCAGGACTATATCACTTAAAAAAAAAAAAAAAAAAGAAAAGCAAAAATGCATCACCTTCAAGTTGATTCCAACTCCTGGGGACCCAGTAGACATAGTAGACATGCCCCCAAGGCTGTAAATATTTCTGAAAGCAGTCGGCTATGTCTTTTTCCCAGGGAGTGACTGTTGGATTCCAACCACCGACCTGTTGTTGATTGTTGTTGTTATTAAGTGCCGTTGAGTCAGTTCCGACTCATAGGGACCCTGTATAGGATTTCCGAGGAGTGACTGGTGGGCTTGAACTGCTAAAGCTGAGGTTAGTAGTCCAGTGCTTATTCTACAGCACCACACAAGGACTCGACACCTTTTGGTTGTTATTTAGTGCATCAAGTCACTTCCAACTCATAGTGCCCCTGTATATGGTTTCCAAGGAGTAGCTAGTCGGTTTGAACCTCTGACTTCTGGCTTAGTTAGCAAGTGCTTAATCACTGCACCATCAGAGCTCCTCACATATTTCATTGGGATGATAATATTAATTGTGAATTTGCTTATATTTACAAAATCAGAACCCAACTTTTTTTTCTCAGCTTATATTTGCAAAATCAGAACCCAACTTTTTTTTCAGAACAAATTCCTTACCTTCCGCCACCCCTGCCCCCGCCCCTGCATGAGAGGAGAGATCCAGGAAGCAGCACAGAGGCAGTGGGGTGGTCGGTCAGGTGGGCAGTGCCTGGGCCTCTGCTGAGTTACAATTTACAGTACTACATGTTGGGACTTTCAAGGTCACCTACACATTGTTAGGATTTGAAATGCTAAGACCGGAAATGGTCAGGGCTTTGCCATCTACAGTCTGCCCATCTGGCACACACGCTGTTTGTACTCATTCATTGATGTAACAGCTATTTGTTGAGTACCCACCAAATGCCAAGTGCACTGTGCTAGGTGCTGGGAATACAAGGGTGAATGAGGCCAACAGGCTTTGTGTCTGCTCTGATCTTCCATTCCAACACAGGGCCTGGTGCAAGGCTCTGAGGGATTACAGATTTAACATTATAAAATACAGAAATAAATTAAATCAACTGAGGAGCACCAGAAGCGATTACAAAGACATGTTAGTAATGAACACAGTGTGGTGAAGAACACCGTTTGGTTTTCATCTGAAGATTCTAACAATTCCTCTGGCAAGGCTATCCTCTGAGAATTTCATTAAGAACAGTTGGCCACATTTTGGGAGGAACAAAAAAAGATTAACAATATGGCTATTTTCGAAATGATTATGCCATGAAGAGTTTAAGTGTGTGGTGTTAACAAAAAATGCCAGGACATCAGTTTGCTATTGCAATGGATTAACCTGCAGGGTCATTTTATCGTAACACATGTACTGTTTCTATTCTGATAAAGCACAGTGAAAGCTTCGGCTGGCAAGTCAAGAAAATGACAGTATTTAGTGGCTGCATTTGGTTAGGCAAGTCACTTAATCTCACTTTCTTCGTCTATAAAATAGAAGGAATAAGTGCCTCCCTCCCACGTGGCTATATAGACTCTAAGTGACACCCTGTCTGTGGACAGCTCAGTGTAACACTAGCTAACTGGTGGAAACTCGGTCACAGGCAAACATTAGTATTATTAACAGTGAGTTGTGTTTTGTGAACTGGATGACATACAGGTAGAAGAAATTAAAAAGATGAAAATTGGTGATCCACTTGACAGATCTACTGATCATGGACCCCAAAATCATAAGGCCCATCTGGAAAAGCTTCTGCAATACTGTGAAACTGGAGTGAAAGAGGGCGCCACCTTGGTGTATGGGGGAAGGCAAGTCCAAAGACCAGGTAAGATCATCTCCCTAGGAGGTTTACAGGGTTCCATTGGGATGGATGGTCACCCCTATAGGAGGCTTGTCGGGGACCTGCCTCGACATAGGGGTTCGGTTCACGAGGAGGAGATACCTGACGGCGGTAGATATAGCAAAAGAATACACAGGATAGACAGAAGATACAGAATGGGGACTGGGCTCTCTCTGGCCCCCCATCCCCTTCACTTCCTTACTGCCCCTTCCCAGCCTGAATACTCTTTGACCAGGGGTGTCGCGACAAACCCGGGCAGTGTCCGTCTCAGGTCAAGCATCATTTCTTACCCCATCCTTCGTGCCATGCGTTGGAAGCCATATTTGTCGGGGCCCTGCCTTGACATAGGGGTTCAGTTCACGAGGAGGAGATACCTGACGGCGGTAGATATATAGCAAGAATACACAGAAAGAGACAAAGAGAGAGACAACGAGGCACCCCAAAGCCAGGGTGTATACATCACTGGTGGGCAGGCTTGGGAGTACAGGCATCGTGGCCTCTGCAGGCAGCAACTCACTGCCCTGCCATCTTTACTGCATGCCCTCCATCTTGTAATGCACTGCAATCTTTACTGCATGCCTTCCAACCCGTAATGCACACCTGGGGAGGCCCGGGCCTCTGTTTTATTTAGGGGAGGAGCTTCACACCAAGCTGGGAGGGACTTAGGCAAGGTACAGCTAACATCAGTACTTTTCCAGACATTCAGGTAACTTTACATCATACTTCGCTGGTTCAAATCCCAGGCCAGCAACTTGGTTTCTCAGGCTCAATTAACATATCTATTGCCTCTGAGCTCAGGTGGGGGAAGGTGAGAGGTAAGGACAAAAGCTTGGGCGGAGTCCCGCTGTTTCGGCTTCCTGAGCAAGGTCTGCAGGAGGACTAGAGACTCCCAGATGAATGGGCTGCACCTGGAAAAGGATTAGGGAGGATGGGTTTTTTGTCTATAGAACAAAGACCGAGAAGTAGCTAAGTTATTTTTAGTTAATCCTTTGGAGAAACACTTGACCTTGCAACTTTTAGTCTTAGGCTTTAGGAAAATATCACATTTATCTGTGGATTATCAAAGGCTCCATGTATTAAATTAATACATGTAACTGAATATTAAGATGAAAAACAATTTGCCATTAACTGCCAGTGGCCTCATTTGTTACACTCGGGCCTATAGGGCCTCGAACCTCTGACCAGTCTTACATGGTCCGCAACAGAGGCTTACCATTGGGATGAATGATTAACAGTGATCACTGCAAACCATCTTGCCTCAAAAGCAAATAGACTTATTTATATTATGCCCAGAAGAATTTATTTCTTGATCCTGCTTGACTACTTATAAGCTGTCACTCCTTGGGCACTGTCATTTTTCTACGTCTCGGTTTCTTTCTCCATAAAATGAGATGATATGTGTTCGTTCCTTCTGCTTTATAAGACCGTGAAAATCAAATCTCCAAATAGATGTGATGGGTCCTTAGTTGGGGAAGAAACAAAGGGTGCTGGGTAACAATGTCATTTGAGAAGTGGAGCTCTTGATTCTTGGCACTGTGAGATTGCATCTTAGCAAATGTAGGCTGGGAAGGATTTATCACTGTTGTCGAAATCAGGACCTACTGAAATATGTGAATGGCTTAATGGCTTGATGCTCCAAAGGAGAGAAAGACAAACAATTACAGAAACTCATAGTTGGCACACCAGGAACTTAATTTGAAAATTGTTAACTAGTAGAAGGAAAAAATTAATTTTTGGTCCTGCCTCTCTTGTAAGAACTGAATTTCAGGACAGCGTAATAGCTGATAAAGGGAACTCTGCTAACCATAAAAATTCCTACTAATAAATGTAGAAAATTATTATATTCTTCTTGTTTTTGTTGTTGTATGCCATAGAATTTGTTCCAACTTATAGCGACCCTGCATAGGGGTTCTGAGAGTGGCTAGTGGGTTTGAACTGCTGACTTTGTGGTTCTAATTATAGGATTAGGAAAATCATCATTTTGCACCCATCACAATGCTTAATTCACAATGCCACCACAGCTCCTTCCTACACCCACAAACTACAAGATTAATTATGTTAGTCTAGTCAGTCATAGGTAGTCATAGAGACAGAGTAGTCATAGAGATGGAGGGTTCACAGCAGGGAGGAAGAGGAAGGCTTTTCTGGCATAGAGAGAGAGACGCAGTTCCCAGTGTGATAAATGTATTATGTTATATTAGAAAATGTCTGTTTCTTTACTGATTTATACTAAAACACTTGGAAGTAAAAGCAATCTATAAGTAAAAGCAATCTACGGGCATTTGCTTTAAAATATTTAAGCAAGAAAAAAAGTGAACCAAATAGAGTACAATAGGAATACGTGTTTATTTGACTATATTATATTATTTCCTCTGCTTTGGCCTAGAGTTGAAGTTTTCATAATGAAGACATTAAGAAAAAATCTAGGAATGCTGATGCCAAATAAAGACACGAGAGGCTTCCTGATTTTACTCACACAGAGGGGAGGAAAAGAATTACCGTGTAATGAAGCAAGAGAACTATTCATTGAAAATGGGCCTATAATTGAAGTTCTTTTCTTTTTTTCTCAAATAGGCTTCTTCATGGAACCCACCGTATTCACAAACGTGGAAGACCACATGTACCTTGCCAAAGAGGAATCCTTTGGGCCTGTTATGGTCATTTCTAAATTCCAGAATGGGTATGTTCTTCAGGCACATTTCACTTAGGTTTTGATTCGATACATTTTTTTCTGTCTACCATTATACTATGGTATGTACCGTGGAGTCAGTTCCGTCTCAGCGACCCTGTACAGGGTTTCTGAGGCTGTAAATCTTTACAGGAACAGACCTTAAGTAGTTTTGAACTGCTGACCTTAAGGTTCACAGCCCGATTCATAACCACTACGCAGAATTTAAAACCAACGAGGGTGCTACTTCCTGTCATAAGCTTACTTGACTGAACTAATTAGAAGAGAATACTTCTGCTAACCAATGTGGTGGTTGTGTGCCGTGGAGTCGCTTCTGACTCATAGCGACCCTGTATAGGGTTCCCAAGGCTGTAAATCTTTACAGGAGCAGAAAGTCTCATCTTTCTCCTGCGGAACAGCTGGTAGTTCTCAACTGTTAACCTTGAGGTTAGCAGTCAAACTCACAACCACTATGCTACCAGAGCGCCGTGCTAGAATACTAGAGCAGTAATAGTTCATTGGGAGCTTGTTTTGATCTAAGCCTGGAACATTTCATTTATAAAAATGTAAGCAAGTTGGCAGGAATGTTTTCCTGCTTCTAGTGCATGGGATAGCCTGGAGGTTGTGGGGAGAAAGCAGGATACAAAATGAGTCTGTTTTGCTTTCCATTTAATGAAATTTAAAATTTTATGTTCTCCTAAAAACATCTTGTAGGGACATTGATGGCGTGCTGCGGCGAGCAAATGACACGGAGTATGGCTTGGCCTCGGGGGTTTTGACAAGAGACATAAATAAAGCTATGTATGTGAGCGAAAAGCTGGAAGCGGGAACGGTTTTCATTAACACGTACAACAAGACGGATGTAGCAGCCCCGTTCGGTGGAGTCAAACAGTCTGGTTTTGGAAAAGACTTAGGTGAGGCTTTGTCTTTCTCATCTGTGTTCCTTTGTTGTCGCTTTACAGAAAAGACTATGTTTTAGCACAAAGCTTGGGTCTTTTGTTGAAGGGCTTTCCTTTGCCAGTTGTTGTTGTTGTGAAGTGTTATCAAGTTGGTTCTGACCCATAGCAACCCTGTTTAGGGTTTCCGAGGAGCAGCTGGTGAGCTTGAACTGCCAACCTTGCAGTTCAAATGGCTTTGCAGTCTGGCGCTTTAACCCACAGCGCCACACGGTTAGCAAAGCGGAAAGTTGGATCTGGCTTTACAAGAGTACTAACTTTTTAAAATGTTAACTATTTTTATCAAACATCACATTCTTATAGTCCGCAAATCACATGAAAAGCATTTCATTGTCAAAGTAAAGGATGAACCATGAGAGAAAAAAAAAACAAAACATTCTGACAGTAAATTTTAGCTGAAATACATCTGTTTGTTTTTTCATTTGCTATTCAGCATGAGTTGGTTTTGCTTCCACAGAGCTAAAGGAAGCCGAGACAAGAAAATGGGTGGGAGCAACAGGCAGCTAGCTCCGGGAATAAATACTGTCTCTGAACTGTTTGGCAGCATTTCAGAACCAACACCGCAATTGGCAGGGTTTTCTGGGAGTCTGGAAACACAGATGTAGGGTGTGTAAAAAGCCAAAAATGTAATGCCCTGTTGGCAGTGACACTACCCCCTTTGAAATACAAGCAGTCCCTGACTCAGGAGCATCCAACTCTTACTTGGCCTGTAATGTTATGGAAATTTGCCCTCACTGAAATAATCGAACCCACAAATTCACCAAAAATTCTTCATCACAATCACCTTCACTAGCTGCAGTGCAGCTTTTACATCACTGAGAAGCCTTCAAGCCCTTCTTGCATTAAAGGAAAGCTAAATCGCAACCACATGCACTGTTCTGACTGACCCACAGATTCTACTTAAAGACACTCTTAGGAACGATCTCATTCATAACCCAGGAAATACTTGTACTAACCTACTTTGAACACTAAATATGTTCGAGGCCCTGTTCCAAGCTGACCAAACCAATGTGCTGGCCTTTAGAAGACCAGCTGTTTGGTCTTGGCCCCCACTACTCAAAGTGTGGTCCAGTGGCCACTAGTACCTGTATCATCAAAGAACAGTTAAAATTGCATGAGGCCCCACCCTGGACTTAATTAAATCAGAACCTGCCATTTAGCAAAGTCCCCAGGTGATCCATTTGGTTGCTAATGTTTGAGAGGTCATGGTCTTAGACTGCATTTCATTTGCTTTAGTGAAATGCACACCTACATCTTTGTCCAAAAAACAGGTGACGTCATATTCACCTTCCAACATGGCCCACCCATTACTCTTCTCTTCCCTAGGTGAGGAAGCTCTAAACGAATACCTCAAAACCAAGACAGTGACACTGGAGTATTAGAACAATGTCGTCATCTGGAAACCCTTGGCAGACAGCGCCAATCCTACGCTCTCAACACACTTAAGCCCAAGTGTGCGTGAAGGGGGTAACAGCAATGAGCCAAAACCACACACAAATACCACCAAGAATATCAGCCTATGCATTGCCCATATGCCAGAAAAATTTCTAACGTACTTTTTATATCTTTAAATGACATGTAGTTGTTGGATTTTGACTATAATGTTTATTATTCATATTTCTAAAGTACCAAAGTGTTTCCCCTCCACCAAGATTAATCTACCAATGGTTGTCTATTTGAAAACATCAAATCATGAAGTTATAAGACACAAGGTGCATCTGTTGAAATCTTGGTGTGCTATGAACAGATTTTAAGCTAGAGTTATTAAAAAGCTTTTCTATCAATTTATTCACAAGAACCAGCATGAGGCTAAGTCAAAGTATTCTACAAAATCATAGAAACTGTATCAAACAAAATAGCAAAACGGAAAGCTATTGTTTCTCTACATCTAGGTCTTACACACTTCTGAAGGCAGTGGTCCCATGTGTGGTGTTGCAGGATAAGCACTGGACCACAAGGTCTGTTTGAACCAAAAGGTGGGCAAAAACCACCCTTCTTCTAAGAATGCTGCACTCTTCAATGTACACCGTGTCAGAATAACAGTTTGGGTATCCTCCAAGGATGCAAATCATGTTTTCTTTTTCAATGTTCTTTGAGTCTGGAGAACAAAAATAAGTCTAAAAGGGTGAAGTAAGGGCTGTGTGAATGAGGTAAGGTTTTCCAATGAAATTCCCTTACAGAATGAGCAGGTGCATTGTCAAGATGGAAAAAATTCCTCAGGGCAACTTTCCTGGCTTTTTACTCATCAATGAAGCTTTCAAATTTTTCTAAAAACTTTCTCCTAGTAAGCCTGTGATATCCCTGTGTCGTTTGAGAAAATGTATCAAGATTAATTACCCTCTGAAATCTCCAAAAAACAGTTGCTCTAACCTCCTGAGCTGACCTCTCTGCCTTAATTTGGCCCAGCAGAGCCCCTAGGAAGCCAGTTTTGATTGATCCTGGTCTGGTGCTGTAGGATAAGCACTTGACCGTAAGGTCAGTTTGAACTACAAGATTGGCAGTTCAAACTCACCAGCTGATCCTTGAAAACCCTATATAGGGTCACTATGAGTCGGAACTGACTCAATGGCACTTTATGACAATTTCTTTTTTGAAGACACTATAAAGGAACTAAGAGGAGTGTATTACTGAGAGAACTGGTCTGCAGCCAAATCCGGGTTGCAGGGCTGTTTCTTGGGAACAGAACCATGCATGAATGAACTGGAACCCTAGTAGCAATACTTTTTGACTTACCCTCCAATATGTTATGAGGAATAGGAAAGTAGTTCTCTTTATTACTATTTGGAAATAAGAAACATCTTTGTCCCTTCGATGTTCTGTTTCTTAACTTACTGTGATGGGTGACCAACCCACAAACATTCACTGAATACAGCCTACAAGGTGCTATAGTTATGTGTTCTAAGTTTAATGAGATGATCTCTAGCCCTGAATAGTTTAAATTCTAGTTAAGTATTCAGCTTTTGGAGCTAATTTTACAGTATGATGTGCAGGCATACTTTGTTTATTGGGCCGCGCTTCACAAATATTGTGGGGGTTTTTTTCTTTCTTTAAACAAATTGAAGGTTTGTGGCAACCTTGTATGTTGGCAGGTCTTATTGGCCAACAGCATGTGCTCATTTCAGGTCTCTCTGTCACATTTTGGTAATTCTCACAGTATTTCAAACTTTTGTACTTCGGGTATAATGTAAACAAACACAACTTTTATAGACACCGGGAAGCTAAAAACTTTGTGTGGTTCACTTTATTGTAACATTTTCTCTATTTGGTGCTCTGGAACTGAACCTGCAACATCTCCAAGGTGTGCCTGTAGTGGACAGCAGATGGCCTTTGAAGGCTGGACTTGGCTCCTGTTACCCCATGTTACTCTCTGTGTGACTTTGCTCCACATAGGCAGCTTCTCTGTGCTTCAGCATCTGTAAGTGTGGTGGTCGTGATGGTGGTGGGAGTGTGCCGTGGAGTTGGTTCCAACTCATAGTGATCCTGTGTAGGGTTTCCAGGGCTGTAAATCTTCACAGGAGCAGAAAGCCTCATCTTTGTCCCATGAACAGCTGGTAGTTTCGAACTGCTGACCCTGAGGTTAGCAGGCTGACTCGTTACCACTATGCTACCAGAGCTCCTTCCTAAAGTGTCAATGGAGACAGTAAACTCCCGGAGGCAGGCATCACCATAAGGAGACAATGCTTTAACAGAAATCAGGTACTTCTCACTGTGCTTTGCTCATCATAAATACTCAAAAGTAGCCATTCTCCCCATCCCTATTTTTTTAATGTGTAGTAAGATAAATTAACTAGTTGAATTCATTCATCATCCCACCTTCCTCTCAATGCCACAGCAGCACTGAGAAATGTTTAACTTCTTGTTGTGATGTGCTGTTGAGATTCAGTTCCAACTCATAGCCACTCTGTATAGGGTTTCCGAGGAGCACTTGGTGGGTTTGAACTGTCAACCTGAAAGTCAGCAGTCCAGTGCATATCCTACAGTGCCACACCTGGATTCGGAAAAATTACAGTGGTACATGAAAAAGATCTGCCTGTCTTTCCACAGCTCTCACAGCCCTCTACCCACTGCTTCTGCTGCTTACTGGCTACGTCAGCTTGGACAAGTTGGTTACTTAAGACTTTAAAGCCTAGGTTTGGCAGGTATAAAATGGGAATACAATTGTAACCATGGCAATGAAACGATATACAATAGGATGAATGTAAAACTAATGTTCTTCCATGTAAACTATCACATAATTCACAATAAAGTATTAAAAAAAAAAAAAAAAGGGAACACAATTCCTCTCTCAGAGCGTAAGGATCCAATGAAATAATGTACATAAATGCATTTCTCCAGGGGTTCAGTGGCGTTGGGGCTCCAGCGACGTGGACAGTTAGACTCATGCAGTGCTCACAATAGGTAAATACCACTGGCCATCTGTGACCAGAAGTTGAGTTTATGTATCACTAGAATCTCTGGAAGATAGTTGAAGCAATCAACTGCTACCAATCCTTTCAAAGTGAAGTTTCAATAAACATCATGTTTTGTAGCTTTGAAGAAGAGTGCTTACTACTTTAGCAACTGAATAGTGAATTGAGGAGGGAGAGAAGGGGATCAAAGAATAAACAGTAACCAAACAACTTCAGAAGCAGAACTTTACAGAGGGAAAACCACAGGTATGCCGCCAGCATTATCAACAATAGCCAATTTTGCCTGTAAGCATTTTTTTTTTAACCACACTTGTAGGAGCCTTGCTGGCGCTGGAGGCCAAGCACAGGCCTGTTAACCACAAGGCCAACAGTTCAAACCCACTAACTGCTTCACAGGAGAAAAATAAGGCTTTGAGTCAGTATCAACATGACAGTGGGTTTCGTTTGGTTTATAGCTCACTTATCACGTACATACACTTGGCACAGCTGACATTCTAAGTTGGAATGAATATTCTCTGAGCCTAAGTGTGCAGTTCATTCTTATTTAAATAAGAAATGACTATGGCCTTATAAAGGATCCACTAAGAATGAAGCATATCACTTTACCAAGTATTTTAATGACAGATGGAATGACAGACAAAAGCACACTCTTCTGGACTGATTTTGCTCTAGTGTTAATCTCAGTGTGTTCTCATCGAATTTCCCTTGGGCCACAGAGCTTTATGAGACTCTGATAAAAGCTATGGGGGCCTACTGTCCCACTTGTGTCCTCAGAGTTCACGTGGAGACAGACGCAGCATCATTCTACAAATACCTCCAAGGGATTCACAGACATCCGAGAGCCCATACCTGTGCACCCAGGTGAAGAACTTACTAAGTTTCTATGAAGTCCTTAGTGGACTTTATAGTGTGTTTCTATCTGACTGCTGATCAGAGTCAAAAGCTCTATAGAATTCATAAAATTGCTGAGTGAATTTCACTGGGAACATCATGAGCCACAGGCTGCTGGGTGATTCAGTTAGCAGGCTGGGTTAATTAGCTTAGCACTGTTCCTTCAGATCACTGATTATTTTGTTAAACTATACAGCTGTGATTTGATTATCACCTGAGTTGGGGAGGTGTAGACACTAAGCAGTTCTCCGTTCTTTACAATTCACTCTTCACACATCACATGGCCCCCCGGCTTTGCGAAGTTAAGTCAGTTGCTTAGTCATGGTGTTGTTTTTCTTAAACGCCATTGTATCAGTTCCAACCCATAGCAATCTATATAGGATTTTCAAGAAACCAGGCTGAGCTTGAACTGCCAACCTTGTAGTTCAAACAGCTTTGCAGTCTGGCGCATTAACCTACAGCACCACACGAAGACTCCTTGGAGCCATGGGCCTCTGGGTAATATCACATACCAGAGTAGAACTGGGCTCTGAAAGGTTTTTAATGAGGTTTTCAGAAGTACATGGCCAGGCCTGGTCTCCAAGGTGTCTCTAGGTGGACATGAACTACGTTTTGGTTAGCAGCTGAACCTGTTAACCATCTATACCGCCCAAGGACACCACTGTTGAGTCAATTCCATGTGAGAAAGAACAGAACTCCTCCTGAGGGTTCCCAACACTTTCCAGGAGTATACAGTCACATCTTTCTGGTGGGTTTGAACTGTCAACCTTGCAGGTAGCAGTCCAATGCACCAACAGGGATCTTTGCCGTCGTACTCTCTTCCTGACTTTTCCTACCTCCCTGGCCCCCAAGCTAGGCTTTAACCCTTCTGTGTTCCTACTTGTCTTGAAAATAGCACTTACCACTTAGTACTGAACTAAATTGCCTTCCTAAGTAGATACGATAAATATAAAATCAATAGAGGCTTTTTGATCCCTCTGTAAAACAACTGATATGTAATCTTTTCACCTAGATTTTACCTCTGCTGCTTAGAAAGCAAGGTCTGTTATTGTTGAAGACGTGCATTTCTATGCAGATAAGCT